CCCACTTTCTTCACCTCAGCTCTGCCTCAAAATGTTGCTCTTGGCCTGCTATAGTTGAGGTCCAATCAGTCGGTCGTATTATCCAATCAGATCACTCAGAGCTTAGCGCAAGCCCCACCTCCTCCCCTCTCCAGCTGTCCATCACCCTGGCTGTCTTTGACTCTCTCTGTCTTCTCTTCCCTGCCTAAATAGAGCTATGAGTTCTGTGGGCCCTCTGAAGGTGGACTGCTTCAAGTCCTGATGTGCAGTACAGTACAGTGCTTATGAACTGAGGACTTAAGAGAGAAAAGAGAAAAAACAAACCCAGCGCTGCAGTCTGAGCCCCAGGCCTCACTCTGGCCCAATAGATCAGATCGTTCTTTGATTTTTGTCTCGTTTTGAAAGAGCGGGTTCCACCCTTTCCTTCATCCCTATATTTGTCTTGTTTGAATTTGGAATCTTCTGCATTTGTGTCACCGTGTGAAACTACAGAGAAAGAAAGAGAGACAGGGAGATGTAGTGGGGAATATACCATGGAGAGAGATCACCGTGGAGTAGTAGGGACCGATAGAGAAAGAGAGAGAGAGAGAGAGAGAGACAGGAGGATGTTGGATGGTTGTGGGGAGTATAGGAATGCAGACTGATTGGACAGATCGGTTCCAGATTCTCTCTCTTTCCCTACATCTCCCCGATCTCATTCTTTCTCTGTAGAGATTCTCCATAACAGAAGTGTACACCACCCTGATCTGTCTACTTGTAAAGTCATTGTGTGATATTTAAATGATCTATATGGGGTTATAAAAGTTACATATGTTGTCTCTATTTATGTTAATATCTATTTATTTCATTATCCTTACCAAAAAGGATTCTCATTTTCTAAATAGTTGCAAAAATAAAAAGGAAAAAAAAATCACCCCTCTCAATGTACATTCTTCGATTCTTAAACATGTACTATTGCTGGAACAGTACATTTTAGTTTTTTTTTCTTTTTTCATTTAAAATAAATGAGTAAAACAGACAACTGGAAACATACGGTGAGCAGTCAGGGACAATATGTATGAAGTGTTTAAAGGATCAACTAGGGATGCAGCAGCACATATGTCAGCGGAGAGGTAGCAAAAGAGAGAGAATGTTCATTCATAATTTACATATTCATGTTGATACATACAGGAAGTATCAGAAGGGAACAGGCAATACAGCAACTATCAGGAGATGCAAAATATAACTGTTTAGACTGAATCCTTTTTCAGTTGTAACTGTATTTTTATTTATTTTTTTAGTTTTCCTGGTGTTTGTTTTTTCATTCTCTGTTTTGTGTAATATCTGCTGTGTCATCATTCTAAGTAGCACAATGGTGTGTTGTACAAAGCACCACATCTCTTAACCCCACTCTGAAACGAATAAATCAAAAGATCCTGTGTTTCACAGTGTAATTTCTGTTACCTCTGTTATTTTACCTTTAAATGAACACAGTGTGTGTCTCAAAATATTTTAAGCTTAAATTAATGTATATTTATCTGGATAGCATACTGTACATGTAATCAATAGAGAGAATTTATTAATTGAAGCCCAAAAAGTGTACTGTATTAACAAAGAAACTAAATGCAATTTTAAAAGAATATTGTCATATTGTGATGATATTAATATAACATATTTATAAACCTTTATTTATTTGATTTATTTTTTATTTTTTGAAAAATATACAATAAGTGTATACTTTGTCATACATGGTAGTTGTACTTTTTTCACTTTTTGTGTTTGTGTATATGAATGTGTTAAAAGTGTTAATTTCATATACAGTATATATAGTTATGATGTGGTGAGCTGTGTATGTGCATGTGTGTGAAAGTGAGAAAGAGAAAAAAAGTGGTGTTCACGTGAGTAAGACTAATTCATTCTGTTCCTCATCACAATTCTCTCCACACTTTTCACATACACATATCAATAATAATAATTAAAAAAAACACAGCTGACAATATATTTTTCAGATGATGACGATGATGATGATTATCATAAAGGATCCATTTGTTCACTGTGTGCCCATTGTGAGGTAGGATCCTCTGAGCTCTATTAGTCTAATAAAGTGCACTATTATTTGTAGTCTAATCTCAGCCAGTCTTCAACCAGTCTTGCTTTGAATTTGGCCATGATCCAGTAGTTTTCCATTTCTCTCTCCCCTCAGCATTGCGACAGCTGTGATAAATGCCCATGCAAAAAAGGAGACGACTCTGAACACTGCGACTTCTGTGATGTGAGAAGCCCACCACAAACACACATTTACTAAATAACTACAATATAGTTTACTAAAGAACTCAATACAAAAAAAGCACAGAAGTTCATAAAAAAACAGCAGTGCAACTGTGCACTGCATCATACATTCCATGATTACACTGTAGTTTATTTTCTAGGCTTACAATCAAGTAAAATTTAAAAGTACTTGATTTACCTTACGGTATCGTTACTTTGACAGTCTTTTGAATTGATAGTCAATTCATTGTTTTAAAATGAACTAATTTCAATTACCAGAATAAGTCCCACATTTGGAATTCAATCCTGTTATCATATGATTTCCCCCCAATATATAAAAAGTTGCATTGTTAAAGTTTAAAGTCCTAAATTCTTCTCTCCAAACTCAAGCTATAAATTTTATGATAAATAAGAGTTTTATATTACTACAATCCAACACCTGGCCCCAAACTAACTAGTGCCTACTGAGTGATTAATGTAATTTATTATTTATTTATTTATTTAATATTTCTTTTTATTTAATTCTATTTTGGTATCTGGTCCCTTTTTTCACTTAAAGGGGTAATATGATGCTGCTAAAAAGAACATTATTTTGTGTATTTGGTGTAATGAAATGTGTCTATGCGGTTTAAGGTAAAAAAAAACACATTATGTTCCACATATTATACATTATTGTTTCTCCTCTATGCCCCACCTTTCTGAAACGCGAACGCTGAAATAAAGCTCATCGGTCTGAAAAGCAAGGTGTGCTGTGATTGGCCAGCTATCCAGAGCATTATGATTGGCCGAATACCTCAAGCGTGTGACGGAAATGTTACGCCCCTTACCATATTGTGATGCCCTGTCCGGCCGGAGCGATGAGACAAAAACATTAAAACCCATTATAAACGAGGCATTTGTTGCATCCAGTGGGGACATAATTACGGATTATAATGACTTATACTGTCTTTTTATGCGTTGCGTTGCGTTGCGTTGCATCGCACCGCGAAAACATAAAACCATGTCTGCATTTGTGATCGGAGAAATGACAAACAACAAGTGCTACTCTACACTGCTCAAAATTCGCGTTTGAATCATCAGTGGCAAATCCTTTAAATATGAAAAACTTAATTACAGTCTGTGAGTCAGAACAGCTGGCATTGTAGTCTACTCTACTCTACCAGGATCAGGAAACAGTCTTCCAAAAAATGCGCTGGACACATCTGAATATTTGGGTTAAACTGTTCTGGAACAGTGTTGTAAATACAATTTAACCACTGATTTCTGGTCGTGTCCTCTTTTGGAAGACCAAACAAAGTAGTTTCGCTTTCACAACGAAACAGCGTCACACACCGCGGCCTAGAGTGAGCGGAGGCCGGCTTGAGTGAGCAGAGGCGGGCGGGCTTGAGAACGGCGCGGCCGGTGGATTCGACGAAGGAGCGGCGGGCGGGCTTGTGGCAACCACATGTGACGACCCCGGGCTGGACTCGGCGATCCACAGCGCAAGATTGATATATTTCCTCAGCGACCAGCACGGATCAGCTCCAGGCATGACGAAGCGGATATCGTCCTCTTTTGGAAGACCAAACAAAGTAGTTTCGCTTTCACAACGAATCACACAGTGGCTTCACGACATGGCGGCGGTGGCAACAACACTACTACAGCGAGAATAAAAGTTACACCTTCTTTCTTTGCGTGAACATTTGGGCAGCGTTATGCAAATCTTCCCACATAGTGATGTAGACATGTGGGGGCGTGTTAGAACGAGCTGTTTTAGGTAGGCGTGGTTGACTCTTAATTTTTATAAAGAATATCTCTTTGGATTTGAGACTTTAGTCTTTGCAACTTTACAGATCTTCTTTATGCACCAAGAGCTTGTAACACTCCAAAGAGAAAGGAAACATTTAAATCGCATCATATGACCCCTTTAAAACTGTTTTTTAGGCTTTTATTCTCTAATCATGAAAAGTGCCACCAAATTAACACATAATATCTGCTGAACAAAATTTTTTTACAGTGCTCAATAATAATGCATTTATTCTTTGAAAGAAATTATAGTTTGATTTACAATTTTAGTTTGATTTTCAGAGAAAAAAAACTACAGAAAGATGTAAAGTGTTAATATATTGCACTTACTGTAGCTGTTGAGTGAAGCTAGAGGCCCTTCAGCTGTGTTTGTGCAGATAGACAGACTAAGTGTGCATTAATGACATAATAATGACTTGCATTATAGTCACAGCATGTGGGTCCAGGCTAGAAACATTAAGTGTTTAAATACAAATTATGTGGTTGTCTGAAGCTATAGATGGCTAAAGTATAGGATGTTCCTTTTTCCCTACAAAACCACATGCACATATTTACACAAACAATTACTTAAAAAATCGTAGCATGAAATTATCAGGACACTTTAACTATCTTTTGTCTCTTCAGGACTGTGGAAAGTGCTACATGTGTCCTGTTTGTGAGACCGTCTGCAAGCCAGGTAAGAAACACTCTACAACAATTTCATACATGCTATTTTAGTTGTTTAGATTGTGGATCATTTCAAAGTCTGATTATTTGATGATTTTACACTTTTTTTTCCTAAAAGGTGGCTTTGTTGACTCTGTTTCTGGATCCATCTATAAGTAAGATAATATTCTCCTGCAAATAAACCTGCAATATTAATTGTTGTTACTAGCATAGTCATATAATGATATATCCCCTCTTCTCTTCTTTTTCAGTACTGTCGCAGACGTCTTTAATGACGACGACGATGACGACGACAACTAAACCCATTCGTCACCAGCATGTGGCCAAAAGAGGAACGTGCAATTGGGCGTTACGTTTCACAGATTTCAGGATTTACATTGTAGCATTATGTTCATTGTCGTTAAGTTATTTTTCTCTTTTTAATGTTACCACATCACATGCTACAGTCTGGTCAATACATTTACGTGGAACTTAAATAATTTCATTTGGCTACCTTAAATTAAATGTATTTAACTGAACAACATTTCCCTTTTAAACAGTATTGTTATTAACATAAGTTATGATATGAAATGTAATTGCAAACCTACACTCTAAAAAATGCTGGGTTAAATATAACCCAGCCCTGGGTTAAAAAAGGACAAACCCAGCTATTGGGTTGTTTTGACCCAGCAGTTGGGATGTTTTGAACCGAACCGCTGGGTCAAAACAACCCAATAGCTGGGTTTGTCCCTTTTTAATCCTGCGCTGGGTTGTATTTAACCCAGCATTTTTTAGAGTGTAACCGTGTTGTTTTGAGACTACTTATGGAATAAAATGAGGGAATGTTTTATTTATGTAAGTAATAATACTTTCAAAATACTTTGAAAAACATACATTATATCAGTGTAGGCAGAGTATAATTGTCTGTGAGGGATGTCCTTACTGTCTCTGTTGAATAGGTTGTAATGTTTTTCATTTTGCTGTTAATTTTTCCGCTGACGAAACATGATTTCCAAACATGATTTGTGATATGAAATATGGCCTTAAAGGGATGTTCATCCAAAAAACTAAACTGTGTCATCATTTACTCACCATCATGTTGTTTCAAAGTCATATGATTTTCTTTCTTCAGCAGAAAACAAAGGGGAAAGGTCTGAACCAGCAGGAGCGGGCCTTTAGATATTTGATGTCCAATATTAAAAATGGGCTAATAAGAACATAACTAGCACATTAAATATTCATACTACATAATATATTATTAGGCTCTCTGCATGTATCATGATTGGTCAATACTCAATAATGCTAAAGTGTTTTCTCACAAATGTGAGCAGCTCATTGCCATTCTCTATCCTACAACTTTAGACAATTAGCAAACATAGTAAAGTGGCCTTGGAAGGATAACTTAATTATTAAGCATCCATTTGATAAAAAAGTTGAACAGGTAAAAGACACAAAGCTGGGAGGATGAATGTAAAAAAGAGACTTAATATGTTAATATTTATATGCTAATTAGTTCATAGAAATCTATTTTAGACTCAGGTAAAGAACTATAACTATATTATCGTCCAGTCACACACCAACGGACGACAAAGGCCTGTTTTTAAGCAGTTATGTCATCTGCCGCTTAAATGTCCGCGCTCTTTAACGCTGGGTGGATTCTGATTGGCTGTCAATATTTTTATCGTTCATCAACAGGAAGAAAAAAAGCCATTCTTAAAAAGATTTCAAGGACATCATTCTTCTGTGTCTTTATCGACTTTTATATTAAAATTAGAATGATTATACATTTTTTTAGTTATAGTTATTGCTATAGTTATTGTCTTTGACATGACCAGGCCATTTAGTCTTTGTCCTTGGCGTACATTGGCTTTAACATTTATTCTTTGAGTACTGTAATACAGGGGTCACCAGACTCGGTCCTGGAGGACATGTGTGTTGATTAGGCAAGTAGGAGCTAAACTCTGCAGTTGGTTGCAGTCTGGGTTAAAAAAGGACAAACCCAGCTATTGGGTTGTTTTGACCCAGCAGTTGGGATGTTTTGAACCGAACCGCTGGGTCAAAACAACCCAATAGCTGGGTTTGTCCCTTTTTAATCCTGCGCTGGGTTGTATTTAACCCAGCATTTTTTAGAGTGTAACCGTGTTGTTTTGAGACTACTTATGGAATAAAATGAGGGAATGTTTTATTTATGTAAGTAATAATACTTTCAAAATACTTTGAAAAACATACATTATATCAGTGTAGGCAGAGTATAATTGTCTGTGAGGGATGTCCTTACTGTCTCTGTTGAATAGGTTGTAATGTTTTTCATTTTGCTGTTAATTTTTCCGCTGACGAAACATGATTTCCAAACATGATTTGTGATATGAAATATGGCCTTAAAGGGATGTTCATCCAAAAAACTAAACTGTGTCATCATTTACTCACCATCATGTTGTTTCAAAGTCATATGATTTTCTTTCTTCAGCAGAAAACAAAGGGGAAAGGTCTGAACCAGCAGGAGCGGGCCTTTAGATATTTGATGTCCAATATTAAAAATGGGCTAATAAGAACATAACTAGCACATTAAATATTCATACTACATAATATATTATTAGGCTCTCTGCATGTATCATGATTGGTCAATACTCAATAATGCTAAAGTGTTTTCTCACAAATGTGAGCAGCTCATTGCCATTCTCTATCCTACAACTTTAGACAATTAGCAAACATAGTAAAGTGGCCTTGGAAGGATAACTTAATTATTAAGCATCCATTTGATAAAAAAGTTGAACAGGTAAAAGACACAAAGCTGGGAGGATGAATGTAAAAAAGAGACTTAATATGTTAATATTTATATGCTAATTAGTTCATAGAAATCTATTTTAGACTCAGGTAAAGAACTATAACTATATTATCGTCCAGTCACACACCAACGGACGACAAAGGCCTGTTTTTAAGCAGTTATGTCATCTGCCGCTTAAATGTCCGCGCTCTTTAACGCTGGGTGGATTCTGATTGGCTGTCAATATTTTTATCGTTCATCAACAGGAAGAAAAAAAGCCATTCTTAAAAAGATTTCAAGGACATCATTCTTCTGTGTCTTTATCGACTTTTATATTAAAATTAGAATGATTATACATTTTTTTAGTTATAGTTATTGCTATAGTTATTGTCTTTGACATGACCAGGCCATTTAGTCTTTGTCCTTGGCGTACATTGGCTTTAACATTTATTCTTTGAGTACTGTAATACAGGGGTCACCAGACTCGGTCCTGGAGGACATGTGTGTTGATTAGGCAAGTAGGAGCTAAACTCTGCAGTTGGTTGCAGTTTGGTGACCCCTGCTATAATTAAAAAAAAATGCTTTCTACAATGTCATATTTTTTAGCAGAAGCTCTACTATAATCTAGATGTAATAAAGTATTTAAATTCAAATCAGTATTTATTTTGGTGGACAAACAGACTGCAGCTTAACTGACAGAGGGCGCGAGCATGATACCAGCGTTCTCTGAGAACTTTTATTCTGGAATTTATGACGAACCAGGAAGTGGAGCCAAAAGGGTTCTTTCCGGTTCAGGATAATAAGAGGTAAACAGCAACGTCTGTGCTTATCCCCGCACGTTCAAACCTGCTATTTATCTATGATATAACAAACTGCGTTTGATTTATGTGTAGCTTCCGGCTTGTTGTTGTAACGTTAATGTGTGATATCTGTTATGGATTGCCTCGCTAGTTCACTAAGGAATTATCCAACATGGGCGAACGTGTAACGTTAGTTATGTGAAACTGTGCAAAATCTGTTCACCAATACCGTAAAAACTGTTCATTTTGTTCTGTAAAGGACAAGCATGACTCGACACGGGAAAAACTGCACAGCAGGAGCCGTTTACACGTATCACGAGAAGAAGAAAGACACCGGTAATGTATCCCTGCTGATCTTATGTATTTATGTGTGTCATGAAATGATTGCAATGTAATTACAATATCAAATTGTGCATCTCACTTCATATTTCCAGCCGCTTCTGGTTACGGGACACAAAGTGTGCGTTTGGGGAAGGATGCGATCAAAGATTTTGACTGCTGCTGTCTCTCCTTACAGCCCTGCAGGGACCCCGTCGTAACGTACGAGCCACATTTGCACTCGTAGAAATGTTTCAATGCTGAAATTGTCTGCATGAGGTTATTTAACACAGTCTTAAGTGGTTATACTGAGTGATACTGGGCCATTTGCGTGTCAGCTGCTTGGAGACTGGGATTAATGTGTGTTTGTTTATCTTTGCTTACTGCAGTAAAGATGGATACTTATATGAAAAAGAAGCCATCCTGCAATACATCCTTCACCAGAAAACAGAAATTGCCAAGAAAATGAAGGTTTGAGCACTTTTTACAAATGTATTTTGCTCTGAATGTGAATGCCCTTCACTGTTTGTCTAACAAACACACACATATTTTTAAACTCAGGCATATGAGAAGCAGAAACAGGCTCTAAAGAGTGAAGGCCAGCTGGAGTCCAAGTCTGAGGAGCGAGAGAGAGCTGAGAAGTTCAAACAGAGAGAGAACAACATTGTCTCCAAGCCAATCAACCCCTTTACCTCAGGTATGAAAACCAGACAAGGTGGTTTAAACATAAGTACAACACAATGAGATTCCTGCTCGATTATGTGTGTATATACCTCATGTTTCTGTAGAGAAATCTAAGGACGAAGGAAGCCAGAAGGGCTCAAGCAGCTCCACCAGTTCTGACACAGGAGCGTCCAGTTCCTCTTCAGCTCTGCCCAGCTTCTGGATCCCCAGCCTCACACCAGAGGCCAAGCCCACCTTGCTTAAAAAACCCGTAGGTCTCTAGATCTGTCACTTTCCCCTCTTTGCCAGCCACATGTCCCTAACCTTGGGTCTTCAGTAGTCAGATGTCCTTCATGGAAGAGCATTACACAAGAGATTGTGCTTACCCTGAAATCAGTTTGCATGCCAAGTGTTCTTTTGATCGGTCATGATGCCTTTGATTGGTTTGTTTGTCTTTCTCTCCTCCTGCTTTGGTCAGTTCTCCACTCTGTGTGTTCAGTAGCTTCTTGTGTCATGATTGTCCTCTTTTAAAGGATCTCTCACCCTGTATGGGGCACTCAATTTAAGAAATACACCTCACAGATATATTAACTCTTTTGACATCATCTATTAACATTAACTGTTTTTCCTTCTCTCCTGCTTTTTCAGTCAAAGACAGTGTTGTGCCCCATGTCAGGATGTCCTTTGAAGATGAGTGATTTGATTTCAGTGCGCTTCACTCCACTGGACTCCAGTCTGGACAGAGTGGCCCTCCTCACACGCCAAGTAAGAAGCCTTAATTTTGGAGCTTTATGTATTT